AAAAAAAAACGCAAGGGGCTATTATTATTTTAGAATGGCATTTACCATATTCAGCACCTGGGTTTTGATTCAAAGTTGAATTTTGGACATTTTGTACAAGATCTGTAAGCCATCTATCACAGAGGAACAATTGCTTATAAAGGAACGGTACCCAATTTCAGGGAGAATTTAGAAGTCAGCGCGAGCTGCATCTACCATTGTGTATCACTTTCTAATCGTCGCTTCGAACATTCTTCCCTTATAAGTAAAAAAGGTGGTTTTGCGCTTCTAAAGTTTAGCACAGTAAGGTACCAATGTCTTAAATAAAGTAAATACAATAGACATCAACTTGTATTTGGTCTTTGCTAAGTGTTTTAAATTTTTTATTTAAGCGCATTACCGTGACTTAAGCAGTATGTCATCAGCACAACTTTTTCATGTAACAGATAGTTGAGAATAATAATGGTGAAGCGTGTTGTTCTCTATTCACTCTTTTTTCCTCTCCATCTCTTTCTCTTTCCCACTGTACGTTTTAAATGCCACATCCATTATCGAATCGTGGACCTTTAAGCCAGATCATTTCTAGCAGCTTTTATTCCTATATGCAACTCATAACTCCAATCAAGATCATTTTCCATAGAAGGAATTTAATCTGTCCAATTTTATATGCTGCTTGACGAAACGGGAGGATAAATAAGTCTAAATTTTAAATTAACTAAATTGTAACATAAGGACGTGGGTTCATTGATAAATATTGCATCCAAAAATACCAAACGGATTCTATATGGAGCTACGCGGTGTGACAGTGGAGGAAGGAGGGATGCAGGAAAGGGAGAAGGTTCGCGAAAGGGGTCATAAGTATTTACCATAGAGCACATCAGCGTTTAAATGAATTTCTTCATATTTAGGATTGCAAAAAATTGACCGTTTTATAAAAATAAATTATAAGTGGATTTCGCTGAATTTTGAGGAGAATCAACACATTTTTCAAGTTTATATCTTGTTAGTTCCTCCAAGACATCTAATATAATCAATTACTTTCATTTTGAAATAGAGCTGTAAAAGAACCAATTCGGGCCTAGAAGTCGTGATAAATACGCGAAATATCATAATGTTCTATCTCGATAGTCGCTGAAATCATAGTGTTGTGTTATAAATACAATAACAGAAAACGTGCCATGATACAATTGAGAATGCAAGCAATTTTAGTTATTATACTCAGAACTACATAAATCTAATGTTTTGTTATTGCCATCTCTTCATTCAGGATCTCCTGCACAATTCGTGGATGTGATAAAGCATCAAATATCAAATAGTGTTCAGAGCTGTTATAAGAAAAAAAATGGCACATTATTGGAACATCGGACAAAGGAGAAGCCATCAATCTGTTTCCCAAAATATGACACACATGAAATTAGAGCCACACGCTATGTAGCCTTTCTGAGTTGAAAGCAGGGGCTCTAGAAGCTGGAAGTTAACATATAAGATTAATAGGGGTGGAAATTTCACTTGAATCTTTGAAGATAATTTTTGGAGATGTGCAGAGGTTGTAGAAGCTGCCGATATATGCTGTTGTACAAAAGAAAATGCTGTACAGTTTTTTGTAGATGGAGCTAGACTCTGGCATGCTCGCCGACGAAAAGTAGAAGTGGTAGTATGACTGAGGTGCCAGGGGGGATGGGAGGACGTCTAAAAAGTTTTGGAAAAGCACGTAGATAGCGCTTTAACTCTGAGATGCAAGCGAGTCTCGCTGCAAAGCCTTTCGCCCGTAATTTTTTCGCCCGCCTTACCATTCCTGAATATGAAAATTGATATGTTTCTGCAAACACAAATTGTTAGTTGTCCAATTTCAGGAGCCCTATTGGGCAAATGTTCCCTTCGGGAACGATAACCCAACAGCACAGTCCTCTGCCACCAGTGAGCCATTTCTCGCAACAAATGGCTCTGCAACAGGTTCACCTAAAGATCAATATGTGAGCTTTCTATATCGCGTTTGTCAGATTCATACCTTCCAGCAAAACCAACAAGCTAGCCATCACATGCTTTCTTCCCATCCCATTCATCCCGCGAGTACGCCAATATCCACATTTAATGCTGTGGGCCCTCAAGAATGCATAACTTTCTTTGATGGTAAGTGTGAGAAAAATTTGAAGTTGCTTCCTTTTATCAAATCAGTTGATACCTTCTTTGTGATAAACACTTTTTGGATGCTTCGAATTATTTACACAGATCTCGAGAGCCATTACTAAACAGCAATAGGAGTTTTGGGTCATATACTAAGCGCTTAATCCGCTTTTCTTTGAACCAATGCGCTTTTCTTAATCTTCCCTTAGCATTATCACTAAATTGCGCTTCATCGCATAAGATAACAAGACTTTTTCATTCATTGAAAACTTTTAAAACATTCAACAGTTTTGAATATTTGCTCAAGCTCTAGATCTGCATTACGCCTTCTTGCTCAATTTTGAGTTAATTCCAAGTAGGCCTAACAGGTTTAAGAGGGAGTTTTGGAAGAAAGACAGAAGGGATATCTTGAAATGAAACAAAATATTGCTGGATGAGCAAGCTTAATCCATGAGTTTGATGTTTGATTTTGTGTTTGAATCATATGATTTTCCTTCCAGCAGGCATGGAAGATCGTACTCCATCCCCACCAACTTCCGACCGTAGTTCTCCTGCTAACGGGGTAATGGGTGGAAACATTGTATACGAAAGCAACACAATGTCTCCGTTTTCTACTCACAGTCAGTAGTTGTTTTTTTCAACGATATTCGATGAGTACCGACTTAAATTATGCTATAATATCAGGTCCAGTAAATGGCTTGGCGATGGCTCAACAGCAGCTAAAGTCGCGAAGTAAAATGCACGAAATGGCAGTACGTCAAAGGCTTATCACTGATCAGGTATGTTGAATTTCCGAAATCTTCTTTTGGTAATGCTTCCAACCTTTATACTCAAATTTCTGTGGCAAAGCAGACTAACTTTGATTAGACTCATTGATATTTGAGAAGCAGTCAACACTGCAAGAAAAGCTCTTCTATTCGAGCAAATGAGTATCTGTATTCAGAATGGTTTTCAATCGGTTCAAAATTCTCGATGAAGTCGCTAATCAGCTCTACACAGAAAACACTT